CTTTCTCTTCTCTTTCTGGGACACCTATAATATGAATGTTAGTGTGCTTGATGTTGTCCCAGATTTCCCTTAGACTGTTCTCATTCTTTTTAATTTTTTTTTCTTGTATCTGTTCAGCCTGGGTGATTTCCTCTAGTCTTTCATCCAGCTCACTGATCCATTCTTCTGTATCATCTAATCTGCTCTTGAGTCCCTCTAGTGAATTTTTCATTTCCAGTATTTTATCCTTCATTTCTAATTGGTTCTTTTCTTACATTTTCTCATTCTTTGTTGACATTCTCACTGTGCTCATCCCTTCTTTTCCCCAGATCAGTGAGCATCCTTGTGACTTTTTGAACTCTTTGTCAGGTAGATTGTTTTTCTCTGTTTCATTTTCTTTTTCTGTGGTTATGTTCTGTTCCATTGATGGAACATATTCTTTTGTCTCCTCATTTTGCCTCTTTCTCTGTGCTTATATCTATGTATTAGGTGGGTCAGCTATGTCTCCTGATCTTAGAGAAGTGGACTTATGTAAGAGATGCCTTTTGAGGCCCAGCAGTGTGCTTCCCTTTCATCACCAGTTCCAAATGTTGCAGAAGTGACCCCTGTGTGGGCTACACGTGTCCTGTTGTGGCAGGGTTGCTTTTGATTCAGATGCCTGGGGAGTCTTGGCTATCCCCCTGGCCAGCTGTTTGTAATGCTCAGGTGCGTGTGCCTGCTACAGACCCTTCAGTCATCTTTTCAGGATTCAGGAGCCCCAGCACAGTTGGCTGCAAGGTCTAATAGTACATTCCTGTTGCAGTTTTTCTGTAAAGTGAGTAGGCCCCCATAGTGGCTGGCTGCTAGGCTCAGGATCTTACAATTGCCCTGGGTCTCCAGCCTGCAGGCCTCTTGTCAGTTCTTTCAGTATTGCTGCTGAAAGGGGCTGGCCCCAGGCATGGGAGCACCCAATTGTTTCAGGCTTTGGAAGGTGGGTCCCATCCCCTATGTGGATGTTATAGAAGCACAGGTGTTCTGCCGCTGATAAGCCCCATTGCCCACAGGTCCACACACACCATCAACACAGTCCTCGGCTGTGCACATGTCCAAACCGCCTGAAGCATACACAGTTGCCCCACTTCAGAGGCCCCCACACACTCCACTAACACCTCACTGACTCCACCCACTCCTCACACATGCTTTTGCCCTTAGAGATGGACCCACTTGCCTGTCTGCAGAGGATCCAGGCACCCAGTCTATGTAGGCTGAAAAGTTGCCCAAAGGCTTGCTGTTGGGTGGGACCAGATCCTAGGACAGGCTGCCTGCCCTAGCTGATCTGGATTAAATTGGTGCTCTAGTGGGTGGGGCAGACCCTGGGCTAACAGGCCAGGGGAAGAATGTGAATGGCGTCTGCCAGTGTCTGTGTCACTATGCCTGTACTACGTCACAATAATGGCTGCTGCCAATTTCTCGGTCCCTTTAGAGGTCTCACTTCTCACCAAGATGCACTCAGCACCTATCAGGTGAATCTCTTTTCGTCAAATGACTGTGCACTTTTCCTTCTGGTGATTTCCAAAATGGATGAATTTGTGTATTGGCCTGTTAAAAGCTGGCTTTTTTCTGCTTATTTCCCATAGGTTTTCTGGGGCTATTCCCTGTTGTAGTTAATAGCCAGCAAAGGCAGATATTATGGTTCTCATCTCAGTTGTACTGAGTCTGAAGGATGCTTATAGTGGTAATGTTCCCCTGCTCAGATTGCCTACTCCTCTAGGTTAAGCTGCGTACCTTAGGATTGCTCCTGACCAGCTATGAAGAGCCATGGCTAGCAAACTTGTTTTTTTTTCTCTTGAGAAAGGAATTTCTGCCTCTTCTGCCTCAGTCAGGACTGTCCTTTGTTGCAGGGATTTTTTAAATCCAGTTTTCAGTTCTCTCTAGGCGCTAATTGTTCCAAGAATAGTTATAACTTGGTTGTGTTCTTGGGAGGAGGTGAGTTCTGAGTCTGCCTATGCCAGCGTCTTGACACCAACCTCCTACAACATTCTTCATTTCTTTGTGTAGATCCATATTTTCATCTAGTACAATTTTCTCCTCCACCTGTTTGATTTTCCGTTAACATTTCTCTAGTGTGAGTTTGCTGATGATGAATTTTTTCAGCTTTGCAATCTGAGAATGTTTTCATTTTCCCTAATTTTTTAAAGATGTGTTTGCCAGGTATAGAATTTCTACATTGACAGTTTTCTTACTTTGAGTACTTAATAATGTTTTCCCACTGTGTTATTACTTACGTTGTTTCAGATGAGAAACCTAATGTCACCTCTATCTTTGTTTCTCTGGCCATAGCATGTCTTTTTTCTGAGGCTGCTTCTATGGTTTTCTCTTTATTACTGTTTTTTCTTTTTCCCAATTTGATTATGATGTGTCTTGATATAGTTCTCTCCATGTTTTTGTGCTTGGATTTGTTGAGCTTTTTTAGACTTGTGAATTTATACTTTCCTCAAGTTTTGAAAGTTTTTGGCCATCATTTCTTCCATTATTTTCCATCCTCTTGCTTCTTTTCTTCAGGGACTCAAATGGTCCATCTGAGGTCACTTGAATTCACTCTAAAGCTTGCTGATGCTCTTTTCACTTTTTTTTTGGTTTTCTTTTTCTATGTCTCATTTGAATCATTTCTATTGCTTTCGAATTCACTAATCTTTTTTCTGCAATGTCTAATCTACCATTAACTCCATCCAGTGTACTTTTCATCTCACACATTGTGGTTGTATCTTTAAAAGTTTGATTTGGGTTTTTTCCTACTGTCCATGAATCTACTTAACTTTTTCCATATAAGGAATATAGTTATAATAATAGTTTTAATGTCATATTCTGTACCTGTTCTGGGTCAATTTCAATTGATTGATTATTCTCATTAAGCTTTGTGATTTCCTGCTTCCTTTCATGCTTAGTAATCTTTTGGTTCCAATTAATTTTTTTGGATTATAATGGTTTATAACATGGTATAATTTCAGATGTACATTATTGTTTATCAATTCCTGAGTACATTTCATCGTGTTCACCCCCAGTAGTCTAATTTTTATCCATCACCATATATATGTGCCCCTTTATCCCTTTTACCCACCCCCCATCCCCTTCCCCTCTGGTAACCACTAATCTCTTCTCTTTATCCATCTGTTTGTTATCTTCCACACATAAGTGAAATCATGCAGTATTTGTCTTTCTATTTCTGGCTTATTTTGCTTAACATCATACCCTCAATGTTGATCCATTTTGTTGCAAATGGGATGATTTTGTCTTTTTTATGGCTGAGTAGTATTCCATTGTGTGTGTGTGTGTGTGTATGTGTGTGTGTGTATCCCACATCTTCTTTATCCATTCTTCTATAGATGGGAACTTGGGTTGCTTCCACATCTTAGCTATTGTGAATAATGCTGCAATGAACATAGGGTTGCATAGATCTCCTAGGATCATTGATTTCAAGTTCTTTGCATAAATACTGGGATAGCTGGACATACGAGTATTTCTATTTTTAATTTTTTGAGAAATCTCCATACTGTTTTCCTTAGTGGCTGCACCAGTCTGCATTCCCACCAGCAGTGTATGAGTGTGCCCTTTCCTCCACATCCTCTCCATTTGCTGTTTTTTGCCTTGGTAATTATAGCCATTCTGACTGGTGTAAGGTGATATCTCATTGTAGTTTTGATTTGCATTTCCCTAATTAGTGATGTTGAGCATCATTTCATATGTCTGTTGGCCATCTGTATATCTTCTTTGGAAAAATGTCTGCATGCTTAGTAATCTTTGATTGGATGCCAGACACTGTGAATTTTACCTTGTTGGTTTACCTTGTATGGTTATTTTTGTACTCCTATAAATCTTCTTGAAGTTTTTTCTTGGATACACGTAAGCTATTTGGAACTACACTGATCCTTTTGATTTGTTAGGCAGGTCCAGAGTAGTAACATTTTAGAGCTAATTATTCCCCTCTATTGAGGCAAGACGTTCCTGAGTACTTTACCTTGTGCCCCATGAATTTTGACTTTTTCCAGTTTGGCTAGTGTGAGTAGACGCTATTCCCTCTGATTCTTTTAGCTGTTTTTCCCCCCAACCTCAAGTGATTTTCTCCCACACATTTGATACATAATACTTCATTGAATATTTGGGAATTCTTTGCAGATCTCCGAGTTTCTGTCATGTTGCAGCTCTCTCCTTTCTGGTACTTTGTCCTATGGATGCAAGGTTTCTTGGCCTATTCACTTCCTCAATTCCATCTTCTCGACTCAGGTACTCTTCAGTCTCTTCCTAACTTTGCCCTCTCTTCACTTTTGCCTCAAATCTCTCTCAAGGCAGTAAGCTGAGTGAATTGTAGGGCTCACATTGTTTGTTCCCTGTCTTTCACGAATCGGTGTGTTTTGTTACATGATGTTAAGTGTCTTGAAAAGAACTTTTCCAGCACTTTGTCAGTTTTTTAAATTGTTTCAGGTGTGAGAGTAAATCAGGTCCATGTTACTCCACCTTGACTGGAAGATAACATTAGATCTTTTTTTTTTATTTTGAAACAAGTATAAAGTATTTTTATCTAAACAGGCTCCCTACAAATTTTTGGAGCTAAATAACCTCTCTGCCTTTCTAGTGGGAAAGTAGGTGTATCATGGTGGAGTTGCCCTCATGATGAACATCTGCAGTTAGTGATGCAAAAGCTAAGAAATGCGTGGGTTGAGTGCAGATTTCATAGGGAGTAAGAATACTTTGTTAAGGCATAAATTGGCTTTTTGTTTTTATTGTTGAGAATAGCCGAAAAGAAAGAGAAATTCTTTATCTCTATAACGCAAGAAGTGTCATACTTTTTGGTCTTGATGGCTCAAAAGAATGTTAATGGCTTTGTGTTAAATTTAAAATTTTTAGCTACCTGAAAGGTGAGGGAAAAACAACACTGGTCAATATTAAGACAATTTATAACATAAAAAGAAACTGTGGTTATGCCAATCAATACCCACATAACAACTATGGTTGACGCCAATCAATTGAACCTTCTCTTTTACTAGGACAAATTCAGATACTTTGATGTTTATAATTATCTGAGAAAGATGGAAGACACCTGAAATAATAACCGAGGTAAATTTTGCTGCCACCCTTGAGAGTTGGGGTTTTGGTGGAGATATGTTGGATTTAGAAAAGAAATTCAAACTTTTCTTGCACTTGAGTTTGAGAAGCAATTTCACACTGCACATGTTTTGAAAGCATTTTTTTCCAAGCTCTTGCTGGTTTTTGAAATTTATTTTTGGTGTCTTTTGCCATTAGAGGTTACTGGTGTGTTATTTATTTTTGGTGAGATTTTCTGTGTACTAGTATATACGGGTATGTAATTCAGTCTATGTGTATATAATCAAGTCTTCCGATTATTTTCTTCATGCCTATGCTCTTGTCTTGTGTAATAAATACATCCCTTACTAACTCAAAATTATGAAAAATATTCTACTATACTTGTATCAATATCCTTATTGTTGTTTTTAAAATATTACTTTTATCTTTAGCCAATCTTACATTGAGGGGTGTGTATGTGTATGGTATGAACACTTGAACCTATGTTATTTTTTCTTGATAAAGAGTCCATTGCCTCACTAGATTTATTTTCCTTTTTCCAGGCAAAATATATGAGATATTGTATCCTAACATATTCCATACTTCTACTTTCCTGCCATTCCTAATCTCTGAGACGAAACAAATTATGAACTCAAACCACCAGTGGCCATATCTTGGTCTATACCTTCTAAACTCACACTGAAATTATAGAAAAAAATAGCAGATGTCAATGTAACAAATCTTTAAAAAATTTTGTAAAATTGCACAATAAAAAAGCTAAATAAGACATAAATAAGTATAAATTTTCAGAAAACTTCAATCAATTGTGAAGACAATTCTGTCATTCCAGAGCTAGTTTGACTCCATTTTTACAAAATAAGATGTTAAAATTACTCTACATTTGTGCTTTGAAGGTTGATTTTCAATTATTGAGTAATATCTATTCTTTGTGCCTCTGTAAGTGTGGATCCTCAAGACTTTACAGTGGCCCTAAGGGTAAGAAATATTTGAGCAAAAGATGTGAGCTTCAGTGAACTCATTGATCCCCTTATGACCCACAAGGGTCACATTTTTCTTCAGATTTTCTCAACCTGACATCATTCTCAATTTGATTATGGGTGAGAAGGTCTGAAGCATAAATATTGCCTCATAATGTTTGTGAAAAATATAAATTTGAAGCTGTCTAAAGCCTAGATTTTTCTTACTGAATTTAACTAAGAGATACTCTGGGATTTACTTACAAAGGAAGCCTAACTCTGAGAACTGAGTTTATAGAATCCATCTTTTCTCAACCACTCAGATTAAAGAATTGGCTTTTTCTGATGACAATTAAAAGTGACAGTTTGCTGATAGCAAAACATGGCATTCTGAAAAATTGGCCCTTAATATTTAAGAACATGCCCAAACCAGATCTTAAAAATCTATTTTTAAGTGACACTTCTATAGAATAATTTATTTTAAATTTGAAAAATAGACAACTTTAAAGATGACAATTAAAACAATCAATCCTTCAGGAGCTGGCTGGTGGTGTAGTAGTTAAGTTCATGTGCTCCACTTTGACAGCCCAGGGTTCACAGGTTCAGATCCTGGGGGAAGATCTACATACTGCTCATCAAGCCATGCTGTGGCTACATCCCATACACAAAGTAAAGGAAGATTGAGACAGATGTTAGCTCAAGGACCATATTCTTCAAGCAAAACGAGGAAGATTGGCAACAGATGTTAGCTCAGGGCCAATCTTACTTACAAAAAAATAAAATAAAAAAATCAATGTTTCAGAAATAAGTTTATAAAGGTTTTGTTCTGGTTCCCTCACCCCCCCTCATATAGATTATGGGTTCTTTACTTCTCAGAGGAGGACAAGAGCTTCAGGTTGGCCAATCAGAGGACCCCACACCCCCGGATTTATTGATGTGACAGAATCAAGGCCAATCGGAAAAGTTATTTTCCATGTTGGATGAAAGTGGGAGAGGATGGCACTTCCTACTGTGACCCCAAACATAAGCTATAAAGGTGACAATGATTTTCTCTGTCGTTACCAGGAGACACCCTGTGTGAAAATGAAGTTAGAGTAGAAAGCAGAGTGGAGTGAGAGAGAGGGAAAATGAGAGTCTGGTGTAGGATTTAATTTATTCATCCTGCTGTGCCTCTTGGACTTCTATCTTCTGTGAGTCAATATAGTTTCTTCTGTTTTTAAGTTAATTTGTTTAGTACTTCTGTCATTTTTAACCAGATACTTATACAATTATAAGATATACAAATTATAATACTATAATATTGAAAATATTCTATATCTCTAAAATTTCATTGATTCATATATTTTTAAATTCTGGGAAATAATCTATTCTTGGAATATATAACTCTATGAATATAGATTACTGACTATCTCAAATATTAGCTCTTACTGAATTGTTATTATTATTATTATAGTTTTTGCTATTACTACACACATATCAGACTCAATTTAACCTTTCTCATAACTTTAGATATTTGTATTTTCAATATTCAAATTTTTGTCTCTATTAAGTAAAAATTGCTATCCATATCTCCATATAAATTATTGCTGCTTAGAATTCCAACTATTAAAACTGGGGGGAAATGTATCACCTTTTTAAAGCTTTTTATTACATTTGCCAAGTTTTTCATTCTAATCAGAAATGTGTGATTGCCAACCTTATGACATTCTCACCTGCATTGAATTTGCAAGGTATTATAATTATTACCAATTTGAAAGATACAATTTTAGTTTTTCCTTTTGTGATTGAGGCTATGTCATTATTATATGGTCATTGCCCATTGATGCATCATTGCAAGATCTGTGATTTTTCTTTTTAAAAATGCTGCTTTTTCTTTTTAAAAAGCAATTTAATTTTAAAATACCATTTAATAATCCCTCCAAAATATATATTTGTCTACCTAAGGGGCTTATGACTCATTTCAATCCTTTTTTTTTAATTGTGGTTAAGTATAAAGTTCTAACCTGGGACTCAGGACCAGCATTTTAGGAGGAGAGGCCCTGGACAGATAACTTCTCTCAGGCCCTTCTCAGCCTATAAATCTATAAGCTGCCCTAACCCTCCCAAGCGAGTTTAAAAGCAGAGAGGAAAAGTAGGACCCAAACAAATATTTGAGGAAAAGTAGGATTCGAACAGATATTTGTACACTCATGTTCTAAACAGCGTTACTCACAATAGCCAAAAGGTGGAAGCAATTTGTCTCAATCTTCATCCAAAAACATTTACTGAAAAGGCTTAGCACTTTTCCCACTGTTTGAGGATGTTTTCTATGTCATAAAGTACATTTTTATGTATACTGAGAAAGTGCTTCTCAAACTTTAGTGGACTAAGAATCACCTTGTGAATTTGTTTAAAGTACAAACATCTGGGCTTATTCACAAATTTGTTGATCAATGAGACCTAAGGAAAAACCAAGGAGTCTATATTCCACAGGTAGGCCAGGTGGTTCTGCTGTGTGAGGTTTCCAGGCACAAACTTAAAAAGCATTACATTAGCATGTTTCAGCGCTATCTGTTCTGTGTTCTCTGTCTCTGTCTCTGTCCCTGTCTGTCTCTCTTTGTCTCTCTTTCTCACCCACTTACGATTAATCCCCATTCCTACCCTCTGCCCCAGGCAACCACTAATCTACTTTGTTCTGTTTTTGTACTAAACTTTTGAACAAGAAGAGGAATGAATGTGGATTACTTTATTAGATATTAAAATGTTTTCTAAAACGATAATGAGTAAAAGCATATTATTGGCACATGAATAGATAAACCTATCATCAAAAAGCAACAGATTGTTCAGAAACAGAATTATTTAATATATAAGGTAACTTTTAAGCTAGGGGTGAGAGAATGGATTTTGTTCCCCAAATAATTGGTGCTGGGATTATGTATAAACCATGTGAAAAAAACCCACCTTTTACTATACTTCAAAATAAATTCCATATGGATAAAAGACAAAAAAAAATTCAGGGGCTGGCTCCATCGCCCAGTGGTTAAGTTTGGCCCACTCCATTTTGGCTTCCCAGGTTCAGTTTCTGGGAGTGGACCTACACCACTTGTTAGCAGCCATGCTGTGGTGGTGACCCATATACAAAATAGAGGAAGATTAGCACAGCATTAGCTCAGGGTGAATCTTCCTCAGCAAAAAAATAAAAAAGAAAAGAAAAGAAATCCATTAAAGTAATTGAATAGAGTGTAAGTGAAGATGCATATACTTTTGGGGTGAGAAAGGATTTTGAGAAGCATGAAATCATAAGTTGAATTCATAAATAAAGGGTTAATACATTTGAGGATATAAAAAATGAAGAGGTGTCTTGGGCAGGCCCTGGCCTGTGTCCTCAGCAGGTTACAAGGGCCACAGGAGCCTGATCTCTGCTGTCCATACATACGCTGACCTGTTCTCTCCAGTCCAAGACGTCCCAGAGGCTCCAGGTTCTCATTTATGGGAATGTGTGCTGGGTTCCCTCCACTGTCTCGATGGGATCACTCTTCCAAAGAGACTCCCCGGAGGAGACTGACAAGACTGTGAAAGCAGGGATGGAAGGAATGGCTTATGGACATAGTCACAACAAGAGTGCCCACTCTCACATCACCATTTTAGACCATTTTTTTTCTTTTCCATCCCATTTTATGATCTCCTATATTCAATTTTCCTATTCTCTTCTTTCTGATAAGTGCCCCCAACAACTGCCTTTCTTTAACTCTGCCATTCCATGAGATTTTCTGCTCACATCTGTACAAACTTGGATCCAACCTGGAATCAGAGGCTCACCATCTCTATCTCCATGTGGGTCTGAATCTCCGGGTTACCAGGATTAGAGAATCACTCAGGTTGCCTTATGAAAGGACTACTCTTATATCAAGAACACAGTGGAGTAAGAAAACCACAAAACCACTTTTTGCAAAAGGTTTTATGGAATGTAGACCAGCTTATCACGACACTCTAGTAGTTCGAAGACAATTCTAGTACTGGCCACCTTGGTGGTCTCTCTGTCTCTGTTAGTCTCTTCTCATAGAATTACAAACACAGCCTAGAGGGAGGTACAGTCTACCCTAAGGAGAGGAAACTACAGTGAAGGAGGCCATGGAATAGCAGTTAAAAACAGAGATGTGGAAATCAGACAGATTTGTGATCTGGGCTTAAACCAGGATTCTGCCAGAACTAACAAAAGATTTTAAGCAACCTCCCTTCACAAAGAGATGCTAATTATAATAAAAACAAAAACGATATTAAAAATAATATCTTTATCATAAGGTTGTTTGGATGATGATGATGACAAGGTATGTATAGTTCTTGGCACATAGTTGCTCATTATGTTAGCCATTATTGTTTATTATTTTTATTGTAGGGTGACCCCAAGAAAGTATTTATCTCACTGCTCAAACTTGTTCTTCTCCTTTCCTCCTCCAAGCTCCTGTATTCTTAGGGAAGGTCAACATCCCTGGTACCAGGATCTCTCCAGCCCAGCCCTTGAAAGATCCATTCTCTAAAGCATAGACAACAGTAGGACTGAATAAGGTAAGGAAGCCATGAGCAAAGATAGGGTTGGAAGCCTGCTCTCCAGTATACCTAGGGTATTTGCCTTTCTCTGAGGGAAAAAAGGATCCTTGGAGAATTAATGATTAACAGTCAGATTTGAAATAGGAAAGAAAAATGATAAATAGGCTCAAGAGTCTTCTATGAAAGATGACACTTTCCACTAAAGAGTAGATTGTACCCTGATGTCTAGCAATTGGGCGCGTCTCTTGGACATATGTTATACTGCTCATGCCCTTGTAAGGAAATTTTTTAAAAAATCATTTAACATAATTGCCGTGAAGAATAATAATGTGTCCATCCATATATACCAAATTAAATATTTTCATTTCTTTCTAAAGTAATACAATTTTTTAAAAAGTAAGTCATCTACCAAGTTTTATGCATTTGTGTAACAAAGACACTTGCTCATACAGATTTAAAGCATTAGGGAAATAGTGCAGCTTACTATGGGGTGAATAGATGTGGAGACACAAAGAGAGGGAAGTGATGTAATGACCTCTATGGAATCTCTGATGATGAGGTTACCGTAACTGCAGATAGTCACACAGGAAGGGATGTGAAAACCTGATTACAGCAAAAACCATGAGGTCTAAGAGAAAAAAAGAATGAAAAAAACACAAGGTGAGTGATACCCTTTAGTGGAAGAGCTATTCTGAGTAGTAAGAGGAGGTACAGGAGGCTGCAAAATGGACCCAGCAATGGGTAGTGGTGAAAGCATACACATGAAGAAGCTCAGCATATGATGTTCATTTGACCCTAAGTACCTTGCTTGATCCCTTCTCCAAGAGCATCTGTGGTCAGATGTGAGAAAGAGGAGAAAGTCACAAGATGCAAAATTTTTCTGATAACAGCAGGATGTTAATGAGGGGAGGGTGGATCACTTATGGCTCTTTCTAGTGAAGTTCTTAACTCCTAAGAAGGCAACAGATGCATTTGTTCCAGATAGAGAGAGCACAGGAGCCTCCTCTCTCCTGTCTCTCCCCACTGCTGTCTTGACCTCCTTTCTCCTTCCCTCTCATCCTTCATCTCTTCCTTGCTCTCTTCATATTCCTTCCTTGTTTCCTTCTCTTATCTTTCTCCCTCTTTCTCCTTCCCTCCTTCACTTTTCCTTCTCTTATCTATAGCCTTCTAGACTGACTATGGGCCCAATAAGGTCACTTTCTAGTCAATATTTCAGAGGTAATTAAACAGATTCTGAGTTGTCAATTTTAAAATGATCCAAAGTCTTAGAGCTCAGATCAAGAATAGGTGGTAAAAATGGACCCTGCATAGGAATAGAAGCAGGTACAGTATCACAGTAGAACCTATATCGTTATCTCTTGTATTCCCCACAGGAAAATATGTGGATTCTGATCACCACGCAGCTCCTGCCTCTGCTGCTCCTGATGCTGCAGCCACTGCAGTTTGAAAAGCTTTTTAAATATTCTGATTTATCAGATGTTGACTCAGAAGAATTTGAAGATTATTTGGAGGAATTATACAGTACAGGGCCTACCAAAGCACCTACCAAAAAAACTTTCCAAAATCAGGTCCTTGCTGATCCTGACAGACCATTATCTGATCCACATTACTGCAATGATGAAGTTAGGATGAAAAATGTTCACAACAGGTTATATTGTAAGAAAGAACATTTCTTCCTCCAAGCTACATATGAGGAGGTGCAAAAGATATGTCGCCACCTGTTTGTACCATGTAAGAACGGAGTTAAGAAATGTCATAGGAGCAAGAAACTAATAGAAGGAGTGTATTGTAGTTTAACATCAGGAACCATGATAGTAGACTGTATCTATGAATCTTTTTACAAGCGTGGATTTGCCCTTATCACGTGTCGATGGCAAAATGATATCCAAGAAATTATCCCTGATCATGTAGATGATCTTCAGGAATTATATAGCCAGCAGAAAGGCATTATTCACCAGGAAGCTATCTTCCCCCCATTATTCTAGAAGAGTATTCTTTAGGAGGTTAGAATAGGAGGATACGACCCTTTCCATATTGATCCCTATAGGTCAAAATTGAGAATGCTAATTTTGGTACCATTCATTTTAATCATCTGCTTCCCTCCCTTCTTCCCTTAACACCAGGCAAACGCAGCGTGGGCTAGGTTCACAGATAGTGCTCTGAGATGTGGTTTCAAACAGGTCATGTAATTTAGCACATTTTGGATGTCTTATGAGAATGAATGCCTGCAGTGAAAGGATGACCAGCAGCAAAAGGAACAGAATATGGTTGCCTGAATTGTGATGTAAAGTTGTATTCATAGGAATCTCTAGTTCGGTAGAAATAATAAAGGGCACTGACCTAGTGAAGTGTCTCTGGTATGGTTATGTGGGGTTTCTGGGTTTGGAATTATCTTTCTCTGTGACACAATTTGAAACAGAAAGAACCTGAAGCTCCTGGAGAAATTGTTCGATTCATCTTTCCAGTGCTGTATTTGCAGATACTACACTTATTCTGTTCTTTCCACACAACACAATACTCATGGGAACATGAAGGTGTAGATTCTAAGAGGAAACATCTCAGGAAAAATATCTAAATATTCAGGATAGCAAACTCTCCAAACTACTTTTCAATCATCCAACGGCTACTTCCATGGATTCCCACATCTTTGCTTTAGCTTAGGCATCACTGTTCACAAAACTGCAAACAATTCTTCAGTTTCTGGCAGAGTCACATTTATTCACAACTCCTTTCCTCACTTTCCAGTAGATGTGGCTTCCTCTGAGAATATTCCACGTCCAGAAAAGGCTGGAGAATCAGTACAACAAAAGAAATCTATCTGTCCAGTTTAAGTAACAATTTCTCTCCTTTTGTTCATGAAACTTCTTAGTATCTTTTTATCACTATTCCCTATAACTTACTGAGAAAGGGATAAGGAGTGATGGGGGATGGTAGGGAGAGTGTCTATTACGCTTGTGCATTTCACTGCAATCCAATCTGCTCATCTCCTCCCCATTCGCTATCCATGTCTTCAGACTCAGAGCTAAGGTCCTAATTTATCAATCAGTTGATGCAAATAAGGGACGAGGGCCAAAGGCTGCCAGACTCCATTTCAGTGACTAAGAAAAAGAGACCAGAAATCAAGCCTCTAGACACCACTCTTTACTCAGAAACTCATAAATTTTAATTTTAATGTCTGAGTGAATGAGGATCCCAGCAATTTTTTGGTAATTTTCATGAAAACCTCTAAAAGCTAACCTTCTATACATCAGTTGAAGAAGTTCTGCACATAGGCTAGACTGGGTATAAGCCATGAATCATTTCATCTGGACCATGTTCATCTCATCTATCTTGGGGCTATACAACACACAATATACTTATGAGAGTATGGTATAGTACAATAACTAAAGCATGAAATAATCATAATGTATCCTTATCTTCAGATACATGATCTAATCCATACACATTCTAGAATTAGAGTCATGGAAACAGAACAACGATCATTTACAGAGTGTTCCTCTTATCTAATATCTTTTGTTCTCTCCCTAATATGGATCTCTTTCACATGTCTGAGGCAGAAGGATCTTGACATCTATGAACTGTCACATTTTTAGAAACGTAAGACAGAAATGATTCATCCCTTACTCTTTGGATTTGATGCATTCTATAACTTGCATTGAGTATGAGATAAATATTCTGCCCTAGATTTCATGGTCAAAAAATTATAAAAGTTAGTAAACAATATCATGTTCTTCTTAAGAGATCAAAGGAGACACCTCCAGTAATTTAGAGCCTCTAGAGAATGACTCTAGTCTTATCAAAACAAGAAGTAAGATAGGCTTTATACAAATGAGATTTTGAATTTAGGAACACTTTTTCCACAAGACTGGATTCTGAGACTATGTTTTCCAACCACTAAAATATAAACTTCAAGAGAACAGGGACATTCATATTATATACAATGATGATATTACTATATACAATGATAATAAGTACATATAGAAATTTCTTTACTTAACCCTTATTTCAAAATGTCAGTATTTGACATTATTCAATTGTTGAAGATTATCTTCCTTCTCTTATTAAAATATATTGATTATAAGTAAGGACAAGCAATTTACCACTTCAACATATGCTCTAGTAGTACTGCCTGAGCAGAGAAAACAGCAGCAGACTTTTGGGATTTCATGAAGCAAAATCCGTTATGGATATTGGACTAGAAGCTGTGAAGCAAATATCAAAATAGAGAGAGCACTTCCAGGGAGGGAGTGGACATTAAGAATAAGAAAGGGAAGAATTTCAAGGAGAAAACAAGAGTAAGAGAAAGAGGTGTTTTTCTCCAGCTGGGAGTAGAGAGAGAAGAGGAAAATAAGGACTGGACACGAAGAGGCCTCTATACTAGGAATAAGAGTTATGTCAGTAAAGGGCAGTTTTTTTTAACAATTCATTGTTTGTTTATTTGTTCATTAAGCCAACAGATATTTATTAAAAATTTTGTTTTTCAACTTTTTATTGAGATTATGATAGTTTGCAACCTTGTGAAATTTCAATTGTACATTATTGTTTGTCAGTTATGTTGTAGGTGCACCAATTCACCCTTTGTGCCCACCCCCACCCCTCCTTTCCCCTGGTAACCAGTAATCTGTTCTCTTTGTCCACATGTTTAATTTCCACATATGAGTGGAGTCATACAGAGATTGTCCTTCTCTATCTGGCTTATTTCACTTAACATAATATCCTCCAGGTCCATCCATGTTGTTGTGAATGGGATGATTTTATCCTTTTTTATGGCTGAGTAGTATTCCATTGTGTATATATCTATATATCTGTATCATATCTTCTTTATCCAATCAGCAGTTTATGGGCTCTTAGGTTGCTTCCACATCTTGGCTATTGTAAATAATGCTGCAATGAACATAGGGTTGCGTGGGACTTTTGGAATTGCTGATTTCAAGTTCTTTGGCTAGATACCCAGTAGTGGGATAGCTGTATCATATGGTATTTCTATTTTTAAGTTTTTGAGAAATCTCCATACTGTTTTCCACAATGGCCGCACCAGTTTACATTCCTACCAGCAATGTATGAGAGTTCCTTTTTCTCCACAACCTCTCCAACATTTGTTACTTTTTGTTTTGGCTATTTTGGCCATTCTAACAAGTGTAAGGCGATATCTTAATGTAGTTTTGATTTGTATTTCCCTGATGATCAGTGATGATGAGCATCTTTTCATGTGCCTATTGGCCATCTCTATATCTTCTTTGGAGAAATGTCTGTTCATGTCCCTTGGCCATTTTTTGATGAGGTTGTTTGATTTTTTGTTGTTGAATTGTGTGAGTTCTTTATATAGTATGGAGATTAACCTTTTGTCAGATAAATGATTTGCAAATATTTTTTCCCAAGTGGTGGGTTGTTTTTTTGTTTCAATCCTGTTTTCGCTTGCCTTGAAGAAGTTCTTTAGCCTGATGAAATCCCATTTGTTTATTCTTTCTACTGTTTCCGTTGTCTGAGAAGACGTGGTGTCCGAAAAGATCCTTTTGAGACTGATGCCACAGAGTGTACTGGCTATATTTTCTTCTAGAAGCCTTATGGCTTCAGGTCTTACCTTTAGGTATTTGATACATTTTGAGTTTACTTTGGTTAATGGTGTAAAATATTGGTCTATTTTCATTCTTTTACATGTGGCTGTCCAGTTTTCCCAACACCATTTGTTAAAGAGACTTTCTTTTCTCCATTGTGTGTTCTCACCTCCTTTGTTGAAGATTATCTGTCCATAGATGTGGGGTTTTATTTCTGGGCTTTCAATTCTGTTCCATTGATCTCTGTGCCTGTTTTTGTACTAGTATCATGCTGTTTTGATTACTGTAGCTTTGTAGTATGTTTTGAAGTCAGGGATTGTGATGCCTCCAGCTTTGTTCTTTTTTCTCAGGATTGCTTTAGCAATTTGGGGTCTTTTGTTGCCCTATATGAATTTTAGGATTCTTTGTTCTATTTCTGTAAAGAACGCCATTGGGATTCTGATTGGGATTGTGTTGAATCTGTAGATTGCTTTCGGTAGTATGGACATTTTAACTGTGTTTATTCTTCCAATCCATGTGCATGGAATGTCTTTCTATCTCTTTATGTCACCATCAATTTCTTTCAGGAAAGTCTTGTAGTTTTCATTGTATAGGTCTTTAACTTCCTTGGTTAAATTTACCCCAAGGTATTTTATTGTTTTTGTTGCAATTGTGAATGGGATTGTGTTCTTGAGTTCTCTTTCTGTTAGTTCATTATTAGAGTATAGAAATGCTACTGATTTATGTAAGTTGTTTTTATACCTTGAAACTTTGCTATAGTTGTTGATTATTTCTAATAGTTTTCCAATGGATTCTTTGGGGTTTTCTGTATATAAGAACATGTCATCTGCAAACAGCAAGAGTTTCCCTTCTTCTTTGCCTATTTGGATTCCTTTTATTTTTTTTTTCCTGCCTAATTGCTCTGGCCAAAACCTCCAGTACTATGTTGAATAAGAGTGGTGAGAGTGGACACCCTTGTCTTGTTCCTGTTCTCAGAGGGATGGCTTTCAGTTTTTGCCTATTGAGTATGATGTTGGCGTGTGTTTGTCATATATGGCCTTTATTATGTTGAGGTACTTTCCTTCTATGCCCATTTTATTGAGATTTTTTATCATGAATGGATGTTGGATCTTGTCGAATGCTTTCTCTGCATCTATTGAGATGATCATGTGGTTTTTGTTTCTCATTTTCTTAATGTGGTATATCACATTGATTGACTTGCGGATGTTGAACCATCCCTGTGTCCCTGGTATAAATCCCACTTGATCATGGTGTATGATCTTTTTAATGTATTGCTATATTCAGTTTGCCAAAATTTTGTTGAGAATTTTTGCATCTATGTTCATCAGTGATATTGGCCTGTAGTTTTCCTTCTTTGTCTTGCCCTTGTCTGCTTTTGGGATCAGGGTGATGTTGGCTTCATAGAATGTGTTAGGAAGTGCTCCATCTCCCTTGATTTTCTGGGATAGTTTTAGAAGGATAGGTATTAAATCTTTGAATGTTTGGTAGAATTCTCCAGAGAAGCCGTCTCGTCCTGGACTTTTATTTTGGGGGAGGTTTTTGGTCACTGTTTCAATTTCTTTACTTGTTATTGATCTATTCAGATTTTCTATTTCTTCCTGATTCAGTTTGGGGAGGTAGTAAGAGTCTAAGAAGTTATCCATTTCTTCTAGATTGTCCAATTTGTTGGCATTTAGCTTTTCATACTATTCTCTTATAATCTTTTGCATTTATGTGGTATCCGTTGTGATTTCTCCTCTTTCATTTCTAATTTTGTTTATTTCAGTCTTCTCTCTTTTTTTTCTTAGTCAGCC